AAGACGACCATTGACACCTTGCACAAGGAGGGCAAGACACAAAAGGTCATTGCAAAAGAGGCTGGCTGTTCACAGAGCTCTGTGTCCAAGCACATTAATAGAGAGGCGAAGGGAAGGAAAAAGATGTGGTAGAAAAAAAGTGTACAAGCAATAAGGATAACCGCACCCTGGAGAGGATTGTGAAACAAAACCGATTCAAAAATGTGGGGGAGATTCAGAAAGAGTGGACTGCAGCTGGAGTCAGTGCTTCAAGAACCACTACGCACAGATGTATGCAAGACATGGGTTTCAGCTGTCGCATTCCTTGTGTCAAGCCACTCTTGAACAACAGACAGCGTCAGAAGCGTCTCGCCTGGGCTAAAGACAAAAAGGACTGGACTGCTGCTGAGTGGTCCAAAGTTATGTTCTCTGATGAAAGTACATTTTGCATTTCCTTTGGAAATCGGGGTCCCAGAGTCTGGAGGAAGAGAGGAGAGACACACAATCCACGTTGCTTGAGGTCCAGTGTAAAGTTTCCACAGTCAGTGATGGTTTGGGGTGCCATGTCATCTGCTGGTGTTGGTCCACTGTGTTTTCTGAGGTCCAAGGTCAACGCAGCCGTATACCAGGAAGTTTTGGAGCACTTCATGCTTCCTGCTGCTGACCAACTTTATGGAGATGCAGATTTCATTTTCCAACAGGACTTGGCACCTGCACACAGTGCCAAAGCAACCAGTACCTGGTTTAAGGACCATGGTATCCCTGTTCTTAATTGGCCAGCAAACTCGCCTGACCTTAACCCCATAGAAAATCTATCGGGTATTGTGAAGAGGATGATGCGAAATGCCAGACCTAACAATGCAGAAGAGCTGAAGGCCACTATCGGAGCAACCTGGGCTCTCATAACACCTGAGCAGTGCCACAGACTGATCGACTCCATGCCACGCCGCATTGCTGCAGTAATTCAGGCAAAAGGAGCCCCAACTAAGTTTTGAGTGCTGTACATGCTCATACTTTTCATGTTCATACTTTTCAGTTGGCCAAGATTTCTAAAAATCCTTTCTTTGTATTGGTCTTAAGTAATATTCTAATTTTCTGAGATACTGAATTTGTGATTTTCCTTAGTTGTCAGTTATAATCATCAAAATTAAAAGAAATAAACATTTGAAATATATCAGTCTGTGTGTAATGAATGAATGAATATAATAGACAAGTTTCACTTTTTGAATGGAATTAGTGAAATAAATCAACTTTTTGATGATATTCTAATTATATGACCAGCACCTGTATATACATGTGGGAGTGGCAGCACGGAGCAAACATGGTGCTTGCTGCAACTGGTTGCTTGACTCTGTGTTGCCAGGTTGACGGCTTATTTGACCTATTCAGTTGCTGGGGGTGCGTCTACAGTTCAATGAATAGAATCTCAGTAGAAGGCTCTGTTGTGGTAACTGTCACATTTGACTATAATATTTATCTGGACAGAAAAGCTGCATGTTTGGTTCATTTCGACATGTATTTTAAATGTCTAGAAAACAAAAGGGGGCGTGATTATCATGGAAAGATACATCCTTATTTCATCAGATTCTCAGCATCATGACCATGACACATCTTTTGAATTCATCAATGCAAAGTCCAGCTCATTATTCCAGTGCTTTCTGAGCAGTCTTCTTCTTAAACATTAAACTGATTATTGCTGCGAGTGGTTATATTATTCTATGTCCTTAAATTCCAGCTTCTTTTTTTTTTTTTTTTCCCCCGGAGTAAAAAGAAGCGTATGTTTCTCCTGGTGGAGGATGGGCCATAGGTGTACTACCCCGTGCGCAGCAGTATCCGTGACGGAGTATCCGCTAACTTGGCACGCGCCGAACAAGTGGCGAGCGCTGTCCCTTTAAGGAACGATCCGTTTAGAATGAATGAGGACAGATGTTACAGAAGCACTGAATACTTTGCGAGCTCTCTTGTTTTATTGTGTCGCCGTACAAATGGTGTCCCTGTTCTGACCGTCGGCGGTGCCGCTTTGTGATCTTTTTGAAGGCGGCGGCGGAGAACTCGAGGGTGCAATCGTCGCTGAACGCTGGCACTCTGAAATTGAACTCCCACCACCTCGTCTCCTCCCACCATCGATCGGAGTATTAAGAGAGGGTGTATGGCATGTCGCTCCGTGAATGGGGGAGAGAGAGAGAGAGCCAGGGAGAGTATGAGGGGGAGGGAGAACAGCGGGGGGAGGGAGTGGGACTGTATTGTAGTCGTATATGTCAGCCTCAGAGGCTGCGTGGGTCGCTCGGCTCCCTCACGCCATTGTTGTTGTTGTGAAAAAAAAAAAAGGCAGAACAAAGGACTCCCCACGCTATGGAACCCCTATACCGGTGTTATGATCACGCCCTGATGGAATGCTATTTAAATGAAGCACATTAAGGAGCACAGCGGGCGGTAACGGAGCTGGCACACAGTTGGTGACAGAGAAGAGAACTGAGGGCATCATTCCTCTCACATTTGGTTCCGTTTCCTCGGGTTCATCCGCCTCCCTTTTTTCCCCCCAGAGAGTGGCCACTGCTGATAAGGTTTCAATCCCTCCTCTGAAGGTTTGGAAGCGGACATCGCCGTGGCTTATTTGTTGAAGGGGTTGCTGTGGATACTGACTGGTAGGGAGGCTGCACCAGGAGCCCTGCTGCAGAGAGAGAGAGCGCCGCCGCTACGGAGCAGATGAGACCGAGCCACGCTAAGCAAACATGAGATTCATGCCACACTTTCTGTGAAGGCTGCATCCAGCGCAAGAGAGACCAAGCCCTCATCCGCCTACATAGCTCCTGCTGCACTCCTCCTCCTCCTCCTCGCCTCTCACCGGCTTCTCCCTGGATTTCGTTGCAGGAGTTGATGGAAGTGGAGGGTGTAAAGGATCAGCCCAGCCAGATGTGTTAGCATCGCAGGTCATGTGATTTCTGATGAAGTGGTGGAGGGTCTGGTTAGACCCTAGAGCATCTTTGTTGTGTTCGTTTTTTTTTTTTGTTCTTCCTTTGCCTGCGTGAATAGCGACGCCTGAATGAGAAAAAGCAATGCGGGCGACAGTAAGTAGCAGTCACATCTTCCAATGCAATGAATGTATCTGTGTTGATGTCAATGTTACTCACACTGCGAGGATTAACATTGGTCAAAGGGGAGGGATCGTCCTGGGAGGGGTGGACCGCACACACACACACACACCTTTGACTGTGAAGTGCTTAGACTTTGATTAGACCCCCCCCCCCCCCTGCCCTGCC